TCAGGCTTTTACAGCCATATGAGGGGCAGATAGGGCCTTGATCTGACAGTGCAGCTATCCCCGAGTACTGCAATCAGACTATATTTTTCTGTGCTCAGTCGTGCTATTGGATTTGATCCCCCTTCTGACTAAAGGGGAGAATACTAACAATTGACATGAGCAGCAGACAGTGCCTCTCAGGGGTGTCTGAAGCCTCACTGAGGTCATACAGAAGAGGTCAGAGTAAGGAGAGACATCTTCTTCCAGCTGGAAAAGGTCCTAAAATGTACCTGGCACTGAGAGAGATTGCTAAAGTTGTCAGCTCCTCTGCATGAGCTGAATCAGTGAAAGAAGCTCAACAAGTATGCCTTGTGTAGCAGAAGGCTATACAATAGCAAACACAGCATTCTCTTCTCACTTATGAACATCTGCAGAACACCAACTTCTTTACTGGCCCTTTCTCATGTTCACACAGCAAACATATTCCACACTTTTCCAGCCTAAATTTCATTTGGAATAATCAGGTCGCCACTTGAGAACATACAATCTCTGTAACAGAAGTAAAGGGTTAAGACTGAAAGAATAGTTCCCAAGCAAATGCATGGTTAGCTTCAATAATGGAAAAATTGTCAGCTTTGTTGTTGATGTGAAGTTTTTGCAATTTACAGAGACACATGCAGAGTAATTGGTCGGAAAAAAGTGAATGATTCTCAGTGTAAATGAACAACATAATGTGTAGGAGGCTTAATGGTTGTAGAGGAGACCTACATTTTAACCAATGTTACTTTGTTACTGTAAGAGGCTTATGGTCGCAGGACTCATTTGACAGTGTTCCTGAATATTAGTAAGCTAATGGGTTCCCCTATGAGACTTGCCTGCAGCAGGCTGACAGTTGGCACCAGTGTCGCTTTGTGAGCAAGTTGCAACCCTCTGAAGAAACACAATGAACAGAGTGAATCAGCTAATTTACAAATGGGTACTAATGGGTAGGCCCTGGAGGTGATGTATAGTTCCAATCAAGTCTGGGAATCCTTCTGATCAAGTTCCTGTCCCAAAGCGAATGAAGATGGGAGATCGAAGAGAGACACCATTTATTTCACAGATCTAAACTTTAAGGCTAAAATAATCAGCTTCATAGAGCTGCTGGAGATGGCACTGTGAAGCTGGATACCCTCACGTGCATAGTGTTTCTGGTTTTAGTAATAAGTTAAAGAAAGTTTCAGTTGAGTTGACCTCCTGATGGTAAAGGTCTAGCAGTGCTTTTACATTCATTAACATGTCACAAATACTCATAAACTGTAACTCCAGTCTGCTAGGACTATCTCTGTAATTGCAAGAGGGATAGACCCAAAATGAAGCAGGGAATGGGACAGTTTGCTATCTAGTGAAGCTGAAGTTACAGTCATGGTCACAATAAAAGTCAGTAAAACACATCTTCACGTACATGTGAGGAGTGTGCCTGATGGCGTGGACTTCTTTCTGGACAGTCTGGTGATATTCACTGTGCCGTGCTCTTACTGAGACTTCATTAAACGTCTGGTTCCTGCAGAACAGGTCTTGCAAGGCATTTCTCCGGTCACAGGGCTACCGTATAAGAAATGCAGCCTCTCCAGGCAACTAAACAAGGTGGCCAGATTAGATCATGGTAGGAAAGCTGTTCAAGGCAGTCAAACAAGGCTGAGTAGAAAAGGGATGGCTAAGGTTGCGAAGGTTGCTAGGAATGAGCTGAATGTAACTTGAATGTCATGTTTGGTTGGGGTGGAAGGAAGGTTTGGAGGCATGGAATGAGACAACTGGGAAGAGTAACAGTGGTGGGAGGTGAAAGAAGGGTGGGCCTTGCATGTTGAGAAGAGGGCACTGAATGCAATGATGTAGTGTGCTTGAGGTTGAAGCAGTAATTGAATTGGATTTGGTATCAGGGTAAGTATGAGCATGGGGAGCTGGATGGGTGTGGACTAACTCAACACCTATGTCAGAGGGTTCTTCATAAAACTGGGGATGCCACCACCCACATCTGTCACCTTCTACAGGAAGATCTTCAGCAGCGTGACTTGGGAGGAAGCACTGTAACTGTGGCACTGAAAATCAGAGTGGCATTGAACTTCTTTGCCACTTTACCAAGTGCCACCCTTCATTTACATGTCAAAAATCCTTGACACTGATCTAGCTCCCTCAGAGGCAGCTCTTAGAGTGAACAGGATGTCTGACACTCCTGTTTTTATCTGTCAGCCAGGGCCCCCCGATGGGACAGGATTAACAGCCCCAATCAGGGAACTCATATTCTATGATGTCCATCTGACTGACCTCATTACAATCATTACATTGTTCCCCCTTTGAGTCCTAGGACAAAAGCCAGTTCTGTTTTTTTTCGTAGCTCCTCGTGGATCAGGTTCCTTAAACACTTCCTTGAACACAGGCAGCATGTAACGCATAGTTGCTCGCCTCTTGCACCCACAGCCTCTCAAGAGAAATTCACTCTTCTTCAGTTGGAGAAGGTGTTGAGGCGATGACATCTGCCATGTCCATCTCAGATTCTAAGGCATTTTCAATGCTTAATGGAGAGGGAGATCCCACAGGTTCCAGAACAATTGGAAAGGCTGTCAAGGAAGGGCATGATTTGCTCCCGCGCCGTTTCCAAGTTTGCAGCTTTCGTTTGGTCCACATATTTGTTCAGGACTTTTGCACTGACCTGAACTTTATATGTCACTAGACTTGACCTCGCATTGACCATGCCTCTTACCCATGCAGGGCCATTCCCGTGGCTCCTACACCAAACGTCATCCCCTGAGGTAAACTGTCTCTCTTGTTTAGCACAGTCTTGTGTCCAGCATTGGCATTCTTGATGCTGTTTCACCCTCTGCTCCCCCGGGTCCGAAAGATCAGATTTAACTTGGTGCAGAGTTTTCTCCCCATTAGCAATGCTGCTGGAACTCTCTCTGAAATTGCAAAAGGGGTAATCCCAAAATGAAATAGAAAACTGTCCCTATCTGTTGAAACTGTAGGCTGTTTCTTTAAGCCTACCTTCAAAGTTTGGACTGCTCTTTCTGCCAGACCATTGGGTGATGGGTGGTATGGAGCTGTCTTTGTCTGTTGAATACCATTCAACTTTAGGAAATACTCAAATTCGCTGCTGGTAAATGATGGCCTGTATCTGTGACCAACACTTCAGGAGGTCCGTGTATTGCAAATGATGTGTGCAGTTTTTCTATTGTCATCCCCGTGTTTGATGAACAAACTCTGTACATATCCAGCCACTTTGAGTGGTCATCCACAATAACTAAGAATTTTGAGCCCATGAAAGGACGTGCATAGTTGACCTGTAGCCGGGTTCGGGGTTCACCCAGCCATTCCCATGAATGTAGGGGACATGCTGGCAGTAATATTTGTCCTTGTTGTCACAGTGGTCACTGCCAGACCAAAGCAGCTATGTCTGCATCCAATCCTGGCCACCAGACATAACTTCTTACTGACATCTTCATTTTGAACACCCCTGGATGACTCTGGTGTAGTTCAGCCAGTATCTGGTGGCAACCTTTGCTCGGGACAATCACTCTTGCTCCCTAAAATGATATGCCATCCTCTACCATGATCTGGTCTGTCTGGGTCCATTAAGGGTCCTTTGGTTTACCAGCACAGGTTGAGTTGTGGCCTCGGCTTGAAGAGAATGAAGTGTTGTAAAATATGGCACTCAAAGTTTGACCCTCACAGGTTCGGGCTGGGTGAGAACTTCCTGCCCATCAGTCCTATAAGATTTTGTGTTCTACGCATTGAAGTGTACAGAAAGAGCTAAGAAACACATAATCATGCAAGACAACCTGACCCATCCTGGAGCAAAAATAACTCCCGCTTTTAAACTGACACCACACTTAGGGTGCAAAACTGAAGATTACACCCATGATACTGATATGAGACATTATATATTTTTAAAGAAAGAGGAATGTTTTATTTTGAAGATAGTTAGGAACTATTGTGTCATTCACATCTCCATGTTTTTCAAGAATGTCACATCATCCTGTACTGCACTACAGTATATGTCTAACTATCATTCCAAAATACATAGTGAGATCTGAGAAACACATTTGATGTCATTTCTTGTATCTGTAAAATAGTGTGATGGTCGTGAACCTTCTTGATTTCAGTCAAAAAAATTGAACTCACTTGTTCTTAGAAGTTAACTATCTTCCTATTGAGAGGCAGGGGTTTATGATGCATTCATGAATATCTATCCGATAAATACGATTCCTTGGATTATGGCTAAGAAAGTTGATGACTGTATGTAAACCATGCATGTCCAAATCCTTCAGAGGACATTTTATGAATTTTAATACTTTTAACAGGGAGAGAAACCAGAACCATTCATCTGAGCCTGTACTGTTAATGATAGAGAATATTGATAGCAAAAGCCACTTGTATCATATTGAGATAACAAGGCGTGGAGCTGGATGAACACAGCAGGCCAAGCAGCATCAGAGGAGCAGGAAAGCAAACATCAGCTTATATCAGAGATAGTAGGAACTGCAGATGCTGGAAAATCTGAGATAACAAGGTATAGAGCTGGATGAACACAGCAGGCAAAGCGGCATCGTAGGAGCAGAGTCTAGGCCCGAAACGTCAGCCTTCCTGCTCCTCTGATGTTGCTTGGCCTGCTGTGTCCATCCAGCTCTACGCCTTGTTATCTCAGATTCTCCAGCATCGGCAGTTCCTACTATCTCTGTATCATATTGAAATGTTTTAGATGAATGCTGCAAGAAGGGTTGGACTCCTAAGTTAAAAGATTTCTATGTTAGTATGAGACTTTTAAGTTATTTAGGTTATTTTTACGGTGACTATTTTGGTAGTTACATTTTCCTAAAAGGGTGAATAAAATTCACTCGTATTTATATATGTAGTCCTTCGTTCTTTCTGTAGTTGACCAGGATAACTAGATTACACTGACACAATTAAACAAGATTGAACTAACTGGCAGTGACATTGGCATCAATGAATATATGACATCAACTGGAATGGAATCAAAATATTACCTTTTTAGCCTGTGGGAGCTATTGCATAAGAGAAAGGAAAGGAGAACAATTAATGACAGTGATTTGTCCATTCTCCAGCCATATATCCACATGTTAATGGATCTTAATATACCCATTATTGGCTTTTATTGCTGCAAAGCACATTTTTATTCATCGAATATGGATAGTACATCATGCACTGCAACTGAATGCTGAGTTAATAAATCAATACATTTTAATTATATACTAACGAAATATGAATATTTTCCACCAGATATTCATAGAATCATACAGTTATACAGCATGAAAACAAACCCTTTGGTTCAACCAGTCCATGTCAACTGTAATCCCAAACTACACAAGTCCCATCTGCCCGACATTATAGCAAGTAATAACTTGATTTGTAATTTAAGATTTAAAAAAAACAGATTCACCCTCAAAAGTTTCTGCTCTGGAAATTGTTTGTAATTTATTGTAATTTCTCCCTTATTGAATCTATTGTGTAAAAACAAATTTTGATATTTTTATGTGGTTTCAGTGGCCTACAAGTTGGTTTGTACAGCACCTATTTTTTCCACATACTATTTGGATGGAGTACCCAATGTAGAGATGTAGGGATATGGATTTGGGCGGCACAGTGGCTCAGTGGTTAGCACTGCTGCCTCACAGCATCAGAGACCTGGGTTCGATTCCACCCTTGGGTGACTGTCTGTGTGGAGTTTGCACATTCTCCCCATGTCTGCGTGGGTTTCCTCCGGGTGCTTCGGTTTCCTCCCACAATCCAAAGATGTGCAAGCTAGGTGGATTGGCCGTGCTAAATTGCCAGTAGTGTTCAGGGATATGTAGATTAGGGGGATGAGTCTGGGTGGGATGCTCTGAGGGTGGGTGTGGACTTGTTGGGCCAAAGGGCCTGTTTCCACACTGTAGGGATTCTATGATGATGATGATGAAATATTTCCAGTAGGGAAATGTCACTTGCCGTGCTGGGTAGGAATAAAAAAACTGATGCAGCTTTACCCACACCTGAAACAAGCATAGAAAGCTAATAAGAAACATAACGCCTGTTTGAGGCACACTGTTTAGGACTGATTTACAGGCAAGACAACAGACCTGGATTTGCATGCTCCACCTAGTTAGAGCAAACATACTGTCATAGAGTCATATAGCATGGAAACAGACCCTTCCGTCCAACGAGTGTTTCAAGGAATTGTCGGAAATTTTAATTGTTGAGTTTTGTCGATCCAGGAGAAGCAAACTTGACTTGGAGTGCAGAAGGAAAATACTGGCCTATATGAGGTGCTCCCCGAGATCACCTCCACCCAGATGAATACAGACAATTTCTCACTATTTCTCAAATGGTAAGCAATATTTGGCATTCACATCCTGTCAGAGCCATTCTAAAGGCAAATGCAGTTCTGGCCTCAGACCAACACAAACTAGCAAATGGAGCTTTGTTTCTTACAATGTTACGAACCAATGAAAATGAAATTAAATTGGAGTGGGGAAAGGGATTGAAAAATATGAAAAATGGTCTGAACATGTCTTTCTTTCATCCTTCCTAAAGTTGAATTTCAACATTTTCAGTGCAAGGATAAAATAATTACTTTAATCTTTTAAATTCTATATATATTGCAGGGCTGCTTTTTCTTAAAAATTTCATACTGGTGGGGAATTTTATCCATTGATCCACACATTAGGAATCATGGGTGTGACCCCAATTCTCAAACAGCAGTATGAATTTGGAAAATAAGTCCTTTTTTTAAAAATTGAAGTATATGTCTGCCAAAACCACTCAAATTTTTAAACAAGATCACTATTTTGATTTGATTCACAACTTGCTGTTAATGTCCTTGGATAATAGGGCTGCACTTTGGCTACTGGGTAGTGATGTGGCAAGGCAAGTGAGATGCCAATCCAGAAATAACAGCCAGCAAGGGTGACTGTAACTAAGGTAAACTTTTGTCCTGTCCTTTTCAACCTGCCTGCAGTCTTTGATACAGTTGACCACACCGCGTATCTTCCTCTGACACTTCCTCACTGTCATCCAAATGGAACTCACTTGGTTTCATCTATTCCATCATAGCCAGAGAATCACTTATAATGACTTCTCTCCAACACTGTTATCTCTGGAATGCCACAAGGATCTAATCTTCATCCTCTCTTATTTTGCATCTACTTGCTGTCCATCAGCAACAACTAGAGACGCAGTGTCAGTCTTCACATGACAACAGTCAGCATCTACCTTACCATTACCTCTCTTGATTACCATCCATCAACTGTAAGTTATATGGTTACTTGTCTGACATTCAGTACAGTGAGATAAAATTTCCTTGAAGTAAATAGTGGGATAAAGGCTGGCGTCTTCAGCCATCATCATAAACTCTGCTCCCTAGCCACCGACTCCATCTTGCAACAGAGATTGAATCAGACTGTTCTCATTCTTTTTGGGATGAGCATCTGATCACACATCTGCTCCATCACTAAGACTGTCTATTTTTACCGACACAACATCACCTGGTTTCACTTCTGCTTCACTGTTGCTGAAACCTTCATCCATGACTTTGTACCATAGACTTAATGATATCAATATTCCCCACTCTGAGATCTTACACTGAACTCTATAAATTTTAAGCACATCTTGAACTCTGCCGATCACTTAACTTGCAACTGGTTCCTGTTCAACCATGACCACCCTTGTTGACCTATAGTGGGTACTGGATAAACAACACATTAATTTTAACATTTTCATCTTGCCTTCAAATGCTTGGCTCCTCTTTGTCTCTGTAACCTCTCCAACACTAAAACCTTTTGAAATATATGCACTTCTTCAATCCGGGTAACTTAATATTGCCTGATTTTAATTGTTCCACTGTTGGTGACTGTTTTCAGGTGCCAAGGTCTTAAAATCTGGAATTCCCTCCCTCAACTTCTCCTTTCCTCTCTCTTTCAATCACTTTAATCACTGAAACCTGCCATTTTGACCAGGATTCTGGTCACCTGCCCTAATATCTCCTTATGTGCTCAGTGCCAAATTGTTCTGTCTGTTTGGCTTCTGTCAGACAGTGTCACTGTGTTGCAATGCAGCCTGTAAATTTAATAATTGAAAAATCTCAGTGCTGTTCAAAAGTATGTTTAATGCACCATCATTATAAAACTATACCTTTAATTATTCTATGTCCTAAAAAAAATCTATCATTTATAAACCACTACTAATCCATAAGATCAAAGGGGTATTGGTAGTTTGATGACTAACATTAGCTAAGGGACAGAAAGAAGAGAATAGTGCTGAACAGTTATTTTTCAGACTTGAGGGAAGCATACAGTGGTGTTCTCAAAGGTCAGTTTCTGATTCACTGCTCTTTTTAAGATCCAAAATTGACATTGACTGGACCTTGGATATACAGATTATAATTTAAAAGTCTGTAGATGACACAAAATCAGCAATGTAGTTAGCAGTGAGGATGATAGTAACAGGAGGACATGGGCAACTGGTTAAATGGTCAAGCAAAGGGGAAATAACATTTAGAATAGAAAATGTATTAAGTAATACATTTGAGGTGATAAAAAAAAATAAACTGATGGCACAATATTAAAGGGAACCTAGGAACAGAGAAACTTGACGGGTCTATAAACACAATTTTTTTAAGGTGACAAAACAGGTTGAGGAGTTTAGTACAAAGACATGACATCTTTGGCTTTATTAACAGAGGTATAGAGGTAAAGCTTAGCCTGCCAAAATGAGGGTATTTGCAGCCCTGTGGTCAAATGCAGTCAGACAACAGTGTGTTTGATAATATTTTCATCTCCGTGTCAAACTGTGACTCAAATAATTAAATTGCAATAATGTGAAAAGGGTGACAGTGAATTGGCAATATGTTCTACATCCGTCCCAAATTTTCCAGAAGGGATGTAAAATGAGCTTCTGATTCATAACCATCCAATGCCCACCTTCATATAAAAACAAAACATATCTCAATCAGAGAAAAATAGTTTCAAATTCCATATTGTCAATATTGTTTGGTAAGATGTTTTATCAGATGCAAAAGTGTCTTCACCACGGTGTTAATAACCTGGGTTAGAGTTTTAGTGTCTGCAGGATGAGCCATGAAGTGCCACAGTATGTTTCACTTATGCCTAACACTGCTATTAAAATCTCTGGAGGCTATTAAATTTAATGAAACCATCTGGACTGGAATGGACAACCAAGTGTAATCAGTTTTGCAATGCCACAAATTACAGATGGCAACACTTGTTCTCTTATTCCATGTTTTCCCTCTTGCCAGATTTAATTGCTAATCTAAATGGATTTCAGCTGCCTAACTTCTCTTTGTTTTCTGATGGTTTCTTTAGCTTAACACTTTTCTACTCCATACTACCATTAAAATCCTTGTGGAGTTCCAAGTTAACACCATGAAAATAATTTTGAATTAAAAATACTTTCCTTTATGTAACTATTCTTTTTTAACTATTTTTTCTCTACCTAGAGAAAACAGTAATAAAAAGATGGAGCAATTAAGAAAACCACAAATACATTCCCAAATAAAAAATGTTGTTAACATGTTTTGTAAAATGGAACATTTATTCAGATTTTCCCCTAACAGTAATTTGCAAGTTATAAAAAGCAGAAAGACTGATTCCTTTCAAATGGAATTTTGGTCCATATTAGCTCTACAGGATTATTCATTCCCAGATGTTGCATTATGACATTTTTGGTTATGCACAAAAATAGTGAGTATTAACTTACTGTGTTATCAATGTACGCTTCTGTCCACACAATATCATGTTCCTGGTCAATGACCTTTGGTCTGCTCAGAACATGAAGGTATTCCATCACATTTTCTTGCACATCGGCAAGAGTAGAAATCTGAGTGAAGTATCCTAAAACAGAGTCCAAGAAGAAGAAAATCTTTAGAATGCACTATTCACAAAACAAACAATAAATACAGTGAGATCCTGCAGAAACAAATTTTAAAAATCAGGAAACAATTACACTGATTTTCAGTTTGGGTGGATTGCTTGCTAAATGTCATCAGTAAAATTCCTACATGTTCGGAGCACAGACTGGCAGCCTAGATCAGGAGGGATCGGTCAACTCCTCCACAGAGTTTCTAAAGCAAACGTGGTACAGGGAGTAAGCACACAACAGCTGCTGATGGGGATTGGAACATAATGATGAAGTGGAGAGATCAGCAACATGCAGGACTCTTTTTTATTTTTCATTCTTTCATGGGATGTAGACATTGCTTGGTGGGCCAGCGTTTATTTCCCATCCCTAGTTTCACTTGTGAACGTGGTGGTGAGCTGTCCTCTTGAGTCACTGAAGTGTAGGTATTCCCACAATGCCGCTGGGGAGACTGTTCCAGATTTCTGACCCAGCAACAGTGAAGGAATGTTGATTTTTTTTTCCCAAGTCAGGGTGATGAGTGGTTTGGAGGAGAACTTGCAGATGGTAGAACCTCCCAGTTTTCTAGATAATAGTAATTGGAGGTTTGGAAAATGCTGTCGAAGGAGCCTTGGTGAATATTTGCAGTGCGTTTTGTAGATAGTACACACTGCTGATACTGTGCGTTGGTGGTGAAATAGGTGAATATTTGTGCCAATCAAATGGGTTGCTTTGTCTTGCATGGTGTGAAGCTTCTTGAATTTTATTGGAGCTGTAGTCATCCAGGCAAGTACGGAGTGTTCCATTATACTCCTGACTTGTGTCTTGTAGATGGTGGATAGTCTTTGGGGAATCAGGAGGTATTATTTGTTGCAGCATCCCAAGCACAGGATGTGAGCGTCACTGCCTGTATTTATTGCCCATTCCCAATTACCCAGAAGGCAGTTATGAGTGAATCACATTGCTGTGGGTCTGGTGTGACATGTAGGCCAGACCAGGTAAGCATGACAGTTTCCTTCCCTAAAGGACATTGGTGAACCAGATGAGATTTTCTGACAACTGATGATGGTTTCACACTCATCCTTAGACTCTTAATTCTGGATTTTTTTATTGAATTCAAATTTCACCATCTGCAGTGGTGGGATTTGAACTTGTGTCCCCACTAGATTAAAATCTAATGATAATACCACCAGGCTATTGCCTCCCCAATATATATGGCTAGTCCAGTTCAGGTTCTGGTCAATCATAATGTCCAGGATGTTGACAGTGGAGGATTTAGTGACAGTAATGCCAAAGAATGTCAAGAGACAATGTTTATATTCTCTCTTGTTGGAAATGTCATTGGTTGCATGGTGTGAATGTTAATTGCTACTGTCAGCCCTAGCTTGGATATTGTCCAGGTATTGCTGCATTTAGATATTGGTTGCTTCAGTTTCGGAGGAGTCATATTATTGCTGAACAATCATCAGCACTCCTGACCTTATGATGGAAAGAATATTACAGTTAAAGATGGTTAGTTTGAGGAAACTATCCTGAAGAACTCCTGCAAAGATGTCCTGAAGCCTGGGTGACTGGCCTCTAACAACCACAACATTTGGGTTTGTACTAAAAATAGGACTTCAACCAAAGGAAAGTTTTCTCCCTGATTTTCATTGACTAACTTTACTGGGGGTCCTTGTTGCCACGTGCAGCCCTGATGTCAAAGGAGGTAATTCTCACTCACTGCAATTGCCCCTAAGTGCTATCAATGCTCCACTTGATCCCAAAGGTGTTACTGAAAAGAAATATCAATTTTCTTTAAATGAAGAAAATTCTTTAAGGACAATTATTTGTGTACTTCTGTGCACAATTCTACAGGAACCTTGAGCAACAAATAACTTGCCCAGTAAAAGCCTAAAATTGCATCTGGTCCTTATTAGCATCTAAGGATTTTGATTTACATAGGCTAATGAGATACTGGCCTGTTTTCTGTGGGTTCCCATGCCATTCATATGAAACATTCCACCAATAGCAAAATGTGAGAGTGATTTGTCTACAGGCATCGGGGAGCAAAGTCTCTCCCACATTTTCAAAGCTATGTTACAACATTTAAGGGTGCGAGGTGGGAAATGGGCAAATGACACATCAATTTACCATCACTGCAGAGCTGAACGGAGGGAACAGATCTACAATAGTGAGGATATAAGCTACAGAAGAAGCATTTCCGCAGGCAGTAGACTCCATGACATGACTCATATATCATGTGTACAACCATTCAAACACAAACATCCAGGATTGCAAGTGCTCACAGCTACTTTAGGTGTGCAACGTTTCCCCATGCACCTCAGTGTTTACAGAGATGAGGATACCAGAGCCAGGATAAAACGAAAAATCACCATTTTATTGAATAGACAATCAAATAGATAAACAAGTCAGTCCTAGCTAGGAGAAGACTGGCAGCAAACTGTGTAATGAAACAATGACAGGAGCAGGAGTTCAGTCACTCTGGAAGTAAATGGCTACGAGGTTCTTTCTGGTCTGTCTAGCTCCGTAGACCAATGCCTGTCTTCCTTACTTTGACAGTTCTCCTGGCCCATCAGGTTCCTCACCCTCATTTTCCTCCTCAGAGGTTTCCTTTTGCTTCTGCATCTCCTCCTTGGCCAACGTGTCCCCACTATGGTGACTGAGATTGTAGAGTGTGTAGCACATAACTATGATGATATGGACACCCTGAGGGGGCAGAAGTTAATTTTGAAGGGGAAGTTAATTCTGGCAAGGAGGGTAATTAATGAGCTGCAAACACATGTGTATAGGCATCTTAATACTTGATAGCAAATGAAGTGTTCTCACTATCTGAAAAGGGAGGTCTTAATTGTGAAGGTTTAACTCAAAAGGCGTGAAGCTGATTTTTGGACTCTTGCCCTGTTAGTTCCTGAAACTTGCCATTATCCTTGCTACCTCAGGGAGTGGAAAATCACGCCGTTCTGTGGGATTGGAATAAAAGCCAAAGATGATTCACATCCTCCACAGCTGCTAAAAGAAAGCAAGTGTTGTTCAGCAGTTATGAAGTAAAGGAATGACAACCCAAGAGGGAGAAAGTTGTAAAACAAAACCCTGTAATACTGAGAAATGAAGGTATTGCTCATCTAGGGTGAAAAAAAACTGCACAGAGGCTGGTATCCCGTCACCTAGTCATCTTTTATTTACTTGTGCACAGTACACTGGCTGTGCCAGTCAGCTCAGAGTCAGACCCCTGACTAAGGAGATTCTAAATCCACTGTTTATATTGGTCAGCCAGGGCTTCTTGGCTGGTCCAGGTTAATGTCGCCAGTCAATGATCTCATAATCAAAAGATCCACTTGGTTCCAATCACCATATCCCTCCCCCACTAAGTCCGGGATTGTAGGCCTGGTCTTTCTCTTGTAGCTTTACCCCAGGTCCGGTTCTTCTGATCGGACTACGACGCAGGCGGTGTGTACCTGTCCGTACCGTCTCAGGAGAATTTCTTCCTCTTTTTTTGGTGATAACAGTATCGAGGCTGCGTCCATCTTGGCCTCGAAGGTTTCCTTGACACTGGATGGAGAGGGAGAACCCACGGTTTCTTACAGGCTTTCTGGCTGTTCTGAGGGGCTGGGTATGTTTTGCTCTGGCCCCGTTTGCAAAGTAACAGCTTTCAGGTGATCCACATGCTTGTTCAGGACCGTATCACCTACCCGAACTTTGTAAAGCACAGGACCTGACCTCACGTCAACCTTACCTTGTACCCATACAAGCCATTTCCATGGTTCCGGCACCAAACTTCGTCTTCTGAATTAAACTGTCTCTCTCACTTTAAGGCAGCATGTGGCCAGCTTTGGCATTCCTGCTGCCATTTCACCCTCCAACCCCCCTCAGGTCTGGGCATATCATCAGGTTTAACCTGGTGCGGAATCTTTTCCCCATCAGCAACTCTGCTGGAGCTATTCCTGTTGTGTGCGGGTTGGTCCTATGAAGGAACAGGAACCAGGACAGTTTGGTATCGAGTGATACTGTAGGCTGTTTCTTTAAGCCTATCTTCAATGTTTGGATTGCTCTTTCCACCAGACCATCGCACAATGGATAGTATGGAGCTATCCTTATGTGCCGAATACCATTCCACTTTAGGAAGCAGTCAATTTCCCTGCTGGTATATGACGTCCCATTGTCTGTTACCAATACTTTCGGGAGTCTGTGTATCGCGAATGATGCTCGCAGCTTCTCAATCGTCATCCCTGAGTTTGCCGAACTGACTCTATGCACGTCCAACCACTTTGAATGGGCATCAACAAATGACTGTGGAGTCTATGAAAGGACCAGCATAGTCGAAATGTAACCAAGTCCAGGGTTTACCCGGCCATTCCCACAAATACGGGGGTGCCACCCATGGCAAGTGTTGTCCTTGTTGGCACTCTGCACTGCCACCAACACAGTTATGTCAGCATCCATGCCTCGCCACCAGACATAGCTTCTTGCTAGCATCTTCATTTTGGACACCCCTGGATGACTCTGGTGGAATCCAGCCAGTATCTGGCAGCAACCTTTACTCGGGACAATCGCTCCTGCTCTCCATGGTAATATGCCATCCTCTACGGTGATCTGGTCTCGCTGCGTTCAGGAAAGTTTCCAATCCGGCTTGCGGTGGCCCTCCTGTATCCCCCATTATGACCAGCTGTTATAGTTTCACCAGGGCAGGATCTTTCTGCGTCCACATTTGGATATTGTCAGTGGTGACTGGAAGGGTGTCCAAAAATTTTAAAACCAAAATGGACTCTTCCAGGGAAGGCACCACTGGTGGAGTATCTGCCGGTGGGGAGCAGCTCAAGGCAACTGCATGAGCCACTCAGCTTCCTGGATGTTGTTCTAACTTGTACGTGCTGAGAATAAGGGCCCAATGCTGAATTCTAACGGAAGCTATGGGCAGCGCCGCCTTGTCTTCCTTCAGGGATTTGTCATCTGTTACTATAAGAAATTCTCAACCGCAAAGGTACTGGTGAACTTC